GCGCTTAAGCTTTTTCATTTGTGTATATTATATGTAATGAAAACCAAAGTATCTATACGGCTGAAATTTAATTGTAAATGGTATTAAAGTCGATTCGGTCCTTCCTACGCTTTACATTTCAATTAAGTTAATTATGCTTTTTTGTCACTTGCAACGTGAAGTGATGTCCCACGAGGGATAAGCAAGAAAGGGCCTATTCCGTCTCGTGATCCATCTTAATATTGACGGACGTCAGAGCAAATTCCAGTAATAACTTTTTTAATGACTAAGTAAAGAAATTAAGAGTGTCTCTTATTACATTTTCATCTATCTCCTTGATGTCGTGCCTCTAATAAATTCTAACAATACTTACAATATTTCATAGTTCGGAATTAAAAGTACCTATATATAATGATTTTGAGTTAAACCATGCAAAACCTAGAATTATTAATTTTGCTTGGTTAAAATATTTAGTTTTGATTACTAACAAACTAATTCAAATAATTCAGTACGAAATGAATAATTCCATTGCATGAAATATCTGTTCAATTTATGTATCAAGTTTGCGTATTTGTTAGTCCCAATGGCCTTGTTCTTCAAGTTGCTTTAATATCTTTAACAATTATAAATGTGAAACAACAATGATAAAAAACAGTTTTCTCAATTTATTTACATAAAATGTTAATATATAACATTTATTTATAAAGTAAATACCAATCTCTCCTTCACTAGAGTCCGACACCTATACGACCTTGTCTACTATCATGCTATTACCATTTTTAAAAGAATTTTATTGGCTTTTTAATGTTTTTGAAATACACAGTGGGTACTCAAATATTTAATTTTAAGTACTGACTTATTACGTGCTCAGCGGTGAGAGAAAACATTGTGAGTATTTTCGAAATAAGAGAAAAAAAAAAAAAGGTTTGTACTACTGTTACTCTCATAATTTTTTCTTAATCTGCCAAAAGAAGTTAAATGTAACGTCTAAAATATTTCAAAAACATGTGAAGTCCGCCAATAATAAATAGCCTCTGTTTAGGGGGGCCGTCGCCCAGCACTGAGACATATTTTCACTCTTATTTTATACATGAATGCAGAACGAAAATGCATGTAGAAACAAAAATGCATGTAGAAGCAAAAATGCATTTAAAATGCATGTAGAAGCAAACGAAAACGCATGTAGAACGAAAAGCCTTAGTAGAACTGCATGCCGTTATTATTTATATTTCGTGAAGACTCAAGCAAACAGCATATATCGTTTCAGTTTGCTTAAAGACAATGACCATAGAAAGGCATTAAATATGTTGCTAAAAGCGGTTTTCTTATTTACATGAGTTTTATAATATGTAAACAAAATCTTTATATAAATTGGCTCACAAAACTGTTTTTTACCATTTTCTCCTCCGTTTTTCAACGAATGTTATTAGTTTTTGTTCATTTAATTAGAATTTCGATTTTAAAGTTTTTTTCATTTTTTTTTATATCTATCTATAAAATTTATCGAGAACATGTTTTGAAAACATTGGCCCATTAAGAAGTAAGACCAAAATTATCATAATTTTTTTCAATGTTGTAAAATTTATACATTTTGTTAAAAAGAGCTATGACAAACTTGTTTTGAATAAATATTAAGCGACTTAATTCTTTGTTCACGTCTATTAGATAGCAATGTATGTTTCCAAATGTTTTATTATGCTCATGATGGTATTAAAAATAGTAAATAGTAAAAGTTTCCTATGTTGTTTCAGGTATGTAGCCGTTATATGCATGTTAATGTGGAAAACTTTTGGTAAGCAGCGTGGAATTGAATCCGGTGTAAAGAAAATTAATTCTTAATCAAATGCCGCATTATAAATTATGCCGAAGCGAAATCCTATTCGCGGACCTTTAAATTTTATACTACGTCGATTTGGATTAAATGCAGAATTAGAGGAGGTAGGTAAGATTCAAGTTGAGTGAAAAACAGATGCCTGTATTTCTGAGCGTAATGAATATTTAATGTATCATTTCGCAGTCCGGGAAATTTATCTCCACTCCAAAGATTTATATCAGCCAAAATCTTGAGTTTATTCGCGGCGTGCACTTTAAATGTGCCGATATTCGCCGGGAATACGTTTGCGAATTTTTTCTATGGCCTACATATGGCCTCTAATATTCTTGAAAGATATTTTCATAGCATTTAAAGTGTGAGCGTTTTTATGTTTTTAACTACTTAATTTTGGTCGTAATTTATTTTTCTTCTTCGTTTTTTCATTAAAACTAACTTAACTCGTTTAGGGGAAAAGTTAATAAAACAAGTTTTATATTACGTCTTAACCATTTGCTAGGAATAGGTAAAGAGGATGGAATATACGGAGGCATCCGTCATACATTTCCCTGGGAGCACATTAACTTACACCGAAATCGATATTCGCGATGTGATTATGTGAGTATGTGTACTCAATGTGTACGTTATGTTCGTGTATTTACTGTGGTAAATACACGAACATAACGCTGTATTGTAATATTAAATAAAGGGACATTGTAACAGGAACTTGAGCAGTTTGCCGAACTGTTAACAATGCACACGGGCTCAGTCTATCATGAAACGCCACGCGCTAACTGAAGGCCCTCTTTACAGCTGAATCAGCAGCGGTAATGTGATTGTCGATTGTTCCTTGAATGGCGCTTCAAGTTAATGCCATTGTTTGGACGAAAACTGGAGCCTGTACTAAAGTCAATGACTGTATTAAATATAATTATAATTATAGATAATAATTTCTTGTATTTACGCGATTACACATTATAAATGAAACTAATTTTACGGATTTATCGCGTTTATTTTTAATTTTAGTTCCCGACGTTTCGAACCCTTTACAGCGTTCATGGTCACGGGACAGACTGAGGTGTTAGACGTCTGATTGTCAACTCAACCCTCTTCTCTATTGAAATTAGGGTGTTTTTTAATTTCAATAGCCTCGCGAATCATCCTCGGGAGGAATCGGTGTTCTTTTGCAATGATCTGTGGTCTATCAAACGTATCAAATGTTTGATGGGAAGAGGGTTGGGTACTACCATCAGCTTGGGATCCTATCATCAATAAAATTAAATCTAAGCCCAAAAGAACCACTACTGCAAGACAAGATACAATTAGCTCCCTCTACATAGATCGGACACAAAATCAATAATACAAAAACTGACGGTAGCCCAGGTTAACTTTGACAATCAGACGTCTAACACCTCAGTCTGTCCCGTGACCATGAACGCTGTAAAGGGTTCGAAACGTCGGGAACTAAAATTAAAAATAAACGCGATAAATCCGTAAAATTAGTTTCATTTATAATTATAGATTCTAAATAGTTATACCAACTTTATGGTAGATAATAAATGCGTATGTATAATAAGAAGCAATTTGATCTAGCAAATATTGAAAGGTAAAGGAAAGTCTGCACATGTAAGAGGCCAACACTAGTGCTGCTGTTAGCGAAATGCCTTTTATTTTTTAATGCAAAACGTTGTAGCTTCTCTGACAGCAGATTTGTTTTCGAATAATGTACCGACATTTCGAAATGTAGCTTGCTTAAAGGACGGATTTTCAAAATTATCGTGTGTGAAGTTAAATCAACCAAATTTTGATTAAATAATTTAAAAAAATAGATAACATTTTACAGCTTCGTTATTTGCTCAAAGAAATCACGTTTTAGTTTTATGACACTTGGCTAATAGCTTTAAAAATTATATCTTCATTTCATACAAAGTTATTAAAGTTTTAAGAAACAACGATTTTCATAAGCACTACGTGTTCCATAATGCCTGTTTTCTTGCCGTGCTTGATGAAATAAATAAATAATATAATTATCAACGATGAAGTCGCGGTTCTAGGGCTAGGTATAGCTAGAGCAGAATAAAAATACTTTTATTGAAGAACAGTCAGCAGATACAAGATAGATTTTGCTGAGATAGTTGAGGAGAAAAAGGCAGAAAAGCACTTTGGTAAGAATTAGAATATCGCGATTCGTTCAAGTTTTTTCTTAAGTTTATAAACTTGTAGTACTTTTCGCTCTCGAAGCTGAATAAGATTTTTGCTTTCATGTACTCGTTTATTTACATACAAAGGTTTGATATCTTAATATTATAAATGGAATTAATTATCATTGTTCTTAGAAATGAAATAGTTGTAAATTCAGTCGTTAGAGTCTACGTGAAGGCGTTACCCCTTTAAAGGTGAAAAAGTCTTTGCCACATTGATAATATTCTTAAGACTGAGACAAAAACATACTTAGCCTTGTCAAAAGACTGATTGGATTGAATGAATGGAATGTGTCAAGAAAGATTGATATTTTTTACGAACTTTTATATTAAGCAATTGATTAAATATAAAGCAAACATTTCTATAAACATAAAACAAAAGTTTTCTCTGTTGATAACGGTAATTAATTCGTTACGTTAGTTTGGTTAAAGCCATTGGTAATTATTTATGAGTTTGGTTGTACTCTAATGGAAGCAAAAGTGATGCAAATTATGTTAATTGCTATGGAGGCTTTGAGATAAAGGTGCGTGACGCGGTGCTCAGAGACGGGAGAAATTATTAAACACCTGACCTATTTCAAAATTAGGTTTCGTATTTGCATAACGTCGTTTTGTTACAAGTTTCATACATCGCTTATGGGATTGTTGAGTGCTTTGATCATCCACTATTGTAAAAGGCGGACTCGCGAAGTATTTTACAGATCAGAAACGGCAATGCTAAAATGTAATAGGAAGCCCTAATGCGCGGGGTCTTAGCGAGGGCTCGCTCTGAAATTATTCTTAATGGCGTCATAAGCGGTTTTCGCGAAGCGTCCAATTTATTTTCATAAGATAACTCGTTGCGGGTGGAATTAAATGGAGATAAAAGGGAGAAATGCGAACTGGCGTTGCGGACACGGTGACCGACTCTGTGAGTTTCCAATTGCAACCACGTGATTTGGTAAATTGTCCAAAGCTAGCATGACAGCCGACTCAGGTAAATGGGAGAAGGCCAAAGCGTATAGCCTATTATGTTCGAAAGACGCGTCACTCGGCAAATCCACACGGTTCTGCGGCGCTTGGAGCGCTATCGATTTTCCGCAGTCGAAGGGGCGGTGGGCGCGGGGGGAGGAGTGTTCTCAGCTGGTCGACCCTCCTACCCCTCGCCCCCTGTAAACATAAACACGGGCACACGATGCCCGCGCTCTCCTCGCAAGATCGACATCGGCCGAGGTGAAATAACGACACTGAATATTTATGAAACCCTCCTATCGGGGGCTTAAGATTCGACTTTTCTGGGTCATTAATCCGTGAGGCGTTCGTGTGGCCGACTGATGTGTCAATATTGATAGATGAGGATATTGTGTATATTTTAATTACTCGTGTCATGTTTTATCAATTACCGCTATATGTCAACTTTCCATATTGACAGCAGAGATATGTTACTAATGTATATCTGCAAGAGAACAATAGAGATAATAAATAATCTACAAAGAAGTAAGCAATTAGTAAGTTCTTAATTAGACAAATTTAGAAGGGTAATCCTCTTTGTATACTTTATTCTAATATTCAGATAGTTTATTACCATTTCAAATTTTTAAAGTTATTATCTAAATATAAAACACTTAATACCGTAGCTTTGTTATGAACACTCACGAACCTTTCGTTCAACGTATGTACTTACTTGTTTTAACCGCAATAAACTGACCTACTTTTTGCTAATGAGGCAAGGTTTATTGGACGCCATTCGTAATATAAATTATAATGTGTGATGGATATTTAAAGCTTGATATTGAATTATTATATTTACCGCATATAATTAAATTGGGGAGATAGTTATTTAGCAAAATATGCAGTAGGCATGTTGTTCAAAATTAAACTATTTAACCAGTTTTCCGAAAGGGTAAACGATTTAGTACTTTATATCACTATGTTTATTATACTAAATGCTGTAAATGTTAGGAACGGTGGTAATTTGAAATTATGATAAAAAGTAGGTATATGTAGGTACGTAATGTTATCGTTGTTTAATTACATTCGAATATACGTATATTTTCATATTAATGCATGCCTAAGAGTGTTAATAAGTGCGTAGCTCCCAGTATTGAAGCAATTATAGGGTAGGGTTTTGGGATTATCAGTAATAAAATATACATTGCGAAGTGTTACAGTTACGTGTCGTTTTTGATCTCAACACAATTTGCGTGGATATAGAGGTGTTCTCTTGATGTATCCATTCACGTACACTCGTTTCAGAAAAAATTTACTTCGTTATTTTATTATATTTAAAAAGATAGCTACGATGTTTACCGTAAACTTATCGGAACTTTTATTAGACAATGTTCTGATGAATAACGGCCCGGACGGATCTGAACTGCAGAGATGTGCAAGACTTTGCATTTTTCAAAATTTTAACTTTTGAAAATCGCTGAACACGCGTTCGCTTGTAGAAATTACGTTATCGTTTTTTTTTTCTGTTGTTTCTTTCTGTTTTGTGTTAATAATAAATACGAAAACTTGTTTTACTCCTAGTGTGCCGTTTAACATTTTATCATGTGTAATTGTTACATTTTCTCTTTTTATCAGCGAGTTTAGTCGTGTATTCAGTAGGAAATACATGAAAACTTGTTTCAGTGTACTGCTTAACGTTTTATCTTGTGAAGTTGTTATTCTTTCTGTGTGTGTTAGAGCTTTTTAAACCAAGCAACTACTGCCACCGAGACAGTTATTTATACTATATCTTGACGGTCGCACTAGCGCGGCAGTAGCTATAGTCAAAGGGCAATTTTCCCGTCACACGTGACAGGTATGAGCAACGAATGCGCACGTTTCAGAATTCTCGCATGAGAATTCTTAAACGTGCGCATCTCGTGGAACTCAGGAGGCGTTTCCAAACGGCCGTGAATATTTCAATTTGAAACTCAACACGGTGCTACGAGTGAGCGCCGATTCTGAAATTAATAAAGCTTAAGCCGCGACGGAATTATAGCGGCGCCGTAAATTACACCTATTATTATTTTATTAAGGTACAGCGCGCATTTAATCTATTGTCTAGCACACAGGTGGGCCTGTGTATTGAGTAAACAATATACAAGATTAATTCCAGGGAATGAAAGCCTATTAACAGACACGCATATATTATGTGTATAGTTTTATTATTTAAATGCGATGCGTTGGTATAGCTACTGTAAACATGAACATGGGATCTAGTTGACAGCTGGAATCGCTCTTTTCTTGGCCAAAGGTCCACATTTTTGTAGCAGTTCGTTTAATGAACTTTACCATGATCTTTTTCGCCTATAGAGACGACACTGATGTATTTAACACTTGTGTAACATATCTTACCTATGTAAAAATCTATAAAAGATATGTTTGGGTGCTGCACAAAGATGAAATTCATATATAATTTAATTTGATGTGGTTGCAAAAAAAGTCCGTTTTGTTGTAGAATTTTATGCATGTGCTTTTTGTAAAAAAACCATCATTTTATTTAGCTAATGAAATGATGTATCTAATGTGTTCATTGAATGTAATGAAAATTGATATATTGCTTTTTGTGGATTTTAATAAAACGAAGTTTCTGTATTGTAGGTGTCAAATCGTTATTATTTACTTAATGGATAAAATAAAAAGGATTCATACAATGACATACAAATAGAGATAGATATGACACTAGCGCACCGAAATTGAAGCACTCAAATTAAACCAATTGGTGTAAATAGATAGCAATTTCAAACACTGCTATCACATTATAGGTTCTATAATGTAAAGCGAAACAAACGAGACGCAGTACGGACATGCGTCAGATATATTATTAAACATCATTGGACCCATATATTATGTATAACACCATAAAAAGGTTCAATCAGAGTTGAAAAATATGATAGCACAGAATTATTGGCATTCTGTCAATTTGACGTCTATGTCATTTAAATTTATTATGATTTTCTATATTACATACGGAGTATAAGTAATTCTGTTGCAAACATTGCACTAGGGTTAACAATTCGCATATATTTTCTTCAACTAAAATACAACTTCTATTAACCCAGTTTTAGCGTTAGGTGCTAAGGGTATTTTCCTTATTAAATGCGAGCGAGAGTTATTAGTAAAAGTAAAATATGTTTCAACTTCATCCTTTTAAACTATGCTTTGTTTACTTGCAAATAGTTTAATAACTTTAAGCTTAACTAAAGTTCGTATCCTTAAGAGGTGTTATTTCACTGAATCTTTTAACATTTTAATTTCGTCTAAGTTTAAGGCAAGATGGCGGAAATTGTTATATTTTTTTCAATTATTCTAAAAGTAATTAAACCTCGTCAAAACTGTTTAGATATATTTGCTTTACGCCTGTTTAAGTACTAATTACAGAAAACTTCTTTATAAAGGATTATCGTGTGAAGTTTGATAAATACCTTATTTTTTCTTTAATAAAATACTAACTAGTTATTAATCAAAAGTCTAATATCCCTTTGAAATGAACCTTTGGGGAATTCCTAGCCAGTTCTATTCGGCTAAGACTAATTTAGTAAAATAATGGTTCTGTCATAAGAAAGTGTAATAAGTCTCTTTTGAAGGAAAAAATTTGGACTCTAACTTTGACTTTGTAATGTTGCGAAGAGGGTACGTAGGTAATGCATGACGTTCACCAATTAAACCTTCATCACCAAATTATCAGCAGGCCTAAGTCTGCAATTTGACTATTTTGTACCGATTTGTTAAATCAACATCTTATTATTTTTTCCGTTTCAAAACATAGCCTACTGTAGGATAACCTGATTCTATGTTGTGGGGATGGTTAACATACATAAATTTCGCATGGACACGTGGGTCACACAAGTACTTGACCCGTGTGTGTAACAAACCCACGACCCCCGACATCAAATCGTAGCAACTGTGTCATTGAGTCATTAATAGCAATATTTTAATTTGATTTTTTCAAGTCACGTATCTGTGTCAATAAAGTCAACTTTTTACAGTCTACGTGCGAGGAGCGTTCATGTATTTCGCTGGAAAACGTATGCCTTTGGCTACATTTTATATATCGAAGCTTTAAATAGGTTGTTATTGTATATTTAGGTACGTGTTTAATATATTAGGCAAGTAATCAATGAAACAGAAGGATGTTTATTATTATTGACTAGAAAATTCATAGAGATTTATATTTTGAATTTCAGACGCAGCTTGGGTCTGCGTCTTTCTCGCTCTTTTATAGTAATTCTCTGGTTGGTTTTATATTATCAAACGCATATCACGCGCCGTATATTTTAATCAGTTACGTAAGTGTTACACGTGTTAAGTTTTGATCATTGACCCCGGGAGAGCTTTTGTTTTCAGTCACGTATTCTCCTCATGTTTGGCTTTGTTACATAAGGCATTCTGATTTTACTCAAGTCTCATGAGAGTAATGCCGCTCTAGCTCATTATGAAAGGCCTTTTTTTCTCTCTCCTCGCATAAGGTGACTCAAGCGTATCGTACAACTTTGTGACATGTCTATTATATTATGACCTCCCTCCTCGACGTTAAGGTGACCCAGTTTATAAATATTACCGACAAAATGTAACGATCCCACTGGAAGTGGAGTGCATTTGAAAGTTCAAATGGCCACTTTCAAATGTGTTTTCGGTGTTCCTTTCAGACCACGTCCATATAATACCGCTGTTTTTTTTTCGGATCGCAATACGGACATCTTTTATGAATTTTGTAGACATGCGGAGTAATTTAAGCAAATTACAGCGTCAACAGTCTTGTGGTTTTTATATTCTAAAATGTAATAATAATACTCGTAAGTCCAATCGCTTCACGAAAGACATACCTACTATGCATACACTTATAACATTTTCTACATAAGTAAAAAATAATCTAGAAACCATCATACATTATATGGATGTATTTTACGACTTTTAAAAAGCTTTTCACACTGCATCCCCTAAAATATAATTAAAGGGCATGAAGCAGTTAATAAATACTATTGTGGTAGGGCCACGCAGCAGCCTCGGCTGTTGTATGAACGGCCAGGCCCGTCCGGGTAAGTACAACGACCTAACAGAAGACCAGCGTAAAGTGGAAGTATGACAAATACTTTCGCGTTTCGTCTGGTGAGTGACGGAGTAGACGGAGCCCAATTTTCAAAAGGTTGTCAACGCATCTGTAACCCTCGGGTGTAGCAGACGTCCATGAGCGGCGGTATTCACACACCATCAGGTGAACTGTCTGCTTGTTTGGTAATTTATCACATAAAAAAAACAATACTTGTTGTCACACTTGCCTGGTTCAAGA